TAATTGTGTTTAAAGAACTTCATGTAATTAAAATTAACATACATTTATTGACTGATAATATTTTTTTTACTTTTCGCTGGCTGCAGTATCTGTTTTGCCTAAAAAATATTTTCCATTTCAATAACTTCAAAGAATTACAGAAACTACTAATAATATAGAAATTATTTCAATAAACTTATGTTTCATACACGGCGCAAATGCTGCATTTGTTTTATTATTTTCATTATAATTATGCACGGGGGACGGGGTAAAATATTCGTCTGATTCAGGAATTTTTCATTAAATCAAGATTTGTACTACAATGTAACTTTAAAGTGTTTATTTATGTATGCCGAATTCCTTGTTGATATCGGTAACGCTACAACGTTGACGCCTGTACGTATACAACGATGAATGACGAATCATTAGCACTCGTCTCTTATCTTATCTTATCTGCCGTAACGCACTTCCGTTGCGTTCCGCACTTCCGTACGGATTTACACCCTAGGCGCGCCTAAAGAAGTTTTATTTCAAAAATTATAAATTATTTATCGACTAATATTAAAAAAAAACATGATTTTTCTTGGTGTTTGTTCCAATGTTGAGGACGTTTTTTTATCAAGTCATAAATTGGAACTTAGATAAAAAATATGCAATAAATTTGATGTATTTTCTAATATTGATTGTCTTACAAATGTTCTCAAATACTTCTTTTGTCTAATTAAGGTTCGGTTCCTCTGTAAAGGCGTGCTCTCACAGAATATCCAAAAAAACTGTATTTTTTTCTCTGGGCTAATTTCGTTTTTCTCTGAATCTCTAAATTACACGCGGGTAATTGCTTTATTATTTCAGAGCAAGACTTTTTTGTATAATTGGACTAACAAATTTGACTGCTGTGCTCTGGTTAACTGGAAATTGCTTTTAAGAATAAATAGGTTCGAGCAGACGGTTGAAAATTATATTTGCTAGAGGAAATGGAATTATACCTTGTTGAAGGTTGACAAAAAAAAGATGGTAAATGATTGGTAGATATTAATGAATTATTAGGTTGGCTTCTGATTTTAGGGTTCGACGTAAAAATGCATAATTGGAACCCGGTCATACCGTTGTACAAAAATATTTTTCTATCTCATTTTTAAAAATTGATTTGTGAAAATTTAGTGTATAAAATTGACCAAGAAATATTTGCTGTTTAAATAATATTTCCTTGAAAAATAGATGTCAATTTATTCTAAATATGCAGATGTTCTACATACTACACAAAAATTATCTAAAAATAGGTATTTGTTAAAAAAAACTTTTACTCAAAATTAAAACAGATGCAGCCTTTCATTTAAAAAGCTTTCTAGGGATTATGCTTGTTTCTAATATTACATAGTAAATATGTCGTTTTTAATAAATTTCTACGGCAAATACTAAAAATAATAAAAATATTATAAAATACCAGTAAGTGTTATTAATATTTTCACAAATAATAAAAATTATATTAGTAATTTTAAGGATAAAGTATGCTTTGAAACTAAAAATTTCGAATGTAAAAATCGTTTTTCCTCAAAATAATATAAACAAAAAAAATTATATCAATTAGTGGTGATAATCAACTTATTGGGATCTAGTAATAAGAATACGATTTGTTGAAATTTTAATAATCCAAACTTTGTATGAAAAAATATAAAGAAAAGTAGATGACTAAACGCTTTAGAGAGGACTTCTAAGAAAATAAATGAAAAATATTTGCATTAATATATCTACTACCCAAGAAATATCACAAGCAATATATTATCATTACATACAATAATTTATAAAAATGTACAATGTAAAAGTTAAGAAAACTTGTTGCAATATTTCTTTTGGACAAGTTTTACTCTTACTATTTTATTATAGTTTTACGTATTTTTGCAAAATCTTTACAAAACGTGTTTGAGAGGAATTATTTTTTTAACTAACATAAATTTTTTACTATATAAAATATTAATATTTATGTTACTATTTTTCCTATGTTCTCTAACTTTAACATAATTAATAAAGAAATAGATATTTACAACACTTCACCTAATCAAATAATCTCCATCTGCACAAGTTAACATTTTTATTTTCTTTTCAAATATCTCATTATTTTATCTTATTCTGTAAACAAATAATATTGTTACATTCTGTATTTTATGTAATTTTATGTTAAGTATTTTATGCTAAATAATAATATATTGTAATTTTTTATATATTTTAATTGTTATTTATTATGTAAAATAATTGTATTTTTGAGTCCTCTTGGAAGAAATCTGTGGGCTATATATTTAATAAATTTCAAATAAATAAATATTTTATAATGCAACTTTTTTTAACTGTAATCGGAATAATTCTTAGTATTCTTTTAGTTTTTGTGATGTAATTTCATATAACCAAGTATTATGAGAAGGCAACCCAGTGGTTGTCCATCTCCTTTGTGAAGTGATTATTATTGAATATGTCTAATAATGATGTAAGATATTTGCAGCAACGTCTTGTAAGACGATTTTCACTTGACATCTTATTGCTTGATGTGAATTACTACTGCTTGATATTAAGCTGTCCGAGAAGGAAATTGAAACTGGAACATTTTAACCTTCATTTGCATTGTATATTGTAACAACTATATATGATATAAAAATACACAGCTTTTTTTTCTACAATGAATAATTCCAAAAACAAATATCAATTAAAACGACATTAATGCTAGTGTGCTATCAGAGAAACATTGCTACTAGAAAAATTGTATATATACATATAATATATATATATATATATATATATATATATGTGTGTGTGTGTGTGTGTGTGTGTATTTAAATGTGTTTATCAATATGTGGCTACCCATATGTGAATCTGTATCTTTTATTTCACACCTCATTTTCTATTCTAAACGAATACAAAATACCATTTAACAACATAATCAAACTCTAATACCATCAGGTTGTGTTATCTATGCTACGTTAAACACTTCAAAAACATCCAATAAAAGAATACAAAGATACAAATGTTCGAAAATCGTAACAAACAAGCTTTCTCTGAAGAAAAAAAACTTAAAAAACCTGCATCATCGGACTACTCCAGCGTCCACACATTGTCTGGATTGCACAATGCTCTGATATCCTAGAAAATTAAAACCACAATTACAGAAAACCTCAAAATTCTCCGACGCGTATATAAAAACATATTTTAGGGATGAAAAATTGAAAATAAATTCGATAATGATGATTCTATATTCGATGAAGGAATTCAATCCAAATTAAGTATTTTTTTAATCGGGCGTAATGGAAGATGAAAAT